GTGGAAAATAAGTATTTGGTCAATAACAAAAGTTCATCTCAATACTTTGTTATATACCCTTTGTTGGCAATGACAGAGGTCAAACTCGTTAACGTATATACTGATAACGAGTTCAAACAGGTGCCATTAATACAGTTAACAAGTGGAGGACAGAGGAGGCTCTTAAAGAAGAAGTTACAGGTCTGTGAGAGCCAGAAATCTTGTTTGTTTNGGGTATATTGCCTCATAAGTTCAGTTATAAGTTAGCTAAATCAATCCAATGTAGGTCAATTATTCTTGATACTTGAACATTCAGTTGTCTACATCACAGCTCTCCAGAGGGTTTCATTAACTTTGTTAGCAGCTCATTCCTTAAAACAGAAGCTTCAGATTGCCGATAATAAGAGGAAATATGAAGGGTATATTTCAAGGTTATGCAAATAAGTTATTGGGCTTTTGTTTTCAACTTGAATTGACTGAATTTATTTGAAAACTGGGCACATGAATACTGTGTAAGATATATTTGAACATATATATTTAAGAAGTACAATATAAGCAGAAGTTTATTATGATTTTTCTCTTTGCTGAGGGCCGTTTCAAAATGGTCTGCAGTTTGGACACCCCTGCTTTTTGGTGTACTTCATGTCATTTCTTCCTTTTCAATATGTGCAGCGTGGCAGAATTCAGCAAACACGAGACCGATCTGTATCCTAATCCTGACATCTATGAGCACTTCATCTTTCCCTTCCTGATGCATCACAACACCTCTGGTAAGTTAGCTCTAAGTAGATGTTTGGCAGATTTTAAAATGGCTTAGAAGGACAACAGAAACGCTGAAGAAATAATCACCAGACTGAACCTTTTTTCATTGCAAATAAATCGATACAAAATCACGACATGTTGGCAAATAATAGAAAGCCAAATTGTAAACTTAATGCAGACTCCAGCTCACTTTAAGAGGTATCATGTCTCTGCTGAAGTATTTAGATCATGTATTAAGTAAAAGTAGAAAGATAAATTACAGTGAAATATCTAAATGTACAAAATGCAAAATGTACTTTGAAGTTTAATCTATATGCTGAATGCTTTGCAGATCCCCAGTGTGTCTCCTCGGCCAATAGCAGTGCAGAATGGCTGATAAAGAACTTTGGTGTTTATTCAACATTCCCCTCCATCACTGACTTCTACAAACTCAACCCGTACTTCTCCGGAGTAAGTCACAAAACCCTGACAACGCTCCGTCTTAAAATCACTTTAGAGCCTTTACTTTTCTCCTGGATCCATCTCTTCGTATCTTTATTTTTGTCATATGGATTGTCTATGTTGTAATATTGCAATGCGTCCCTCCTCAGTTCCATGTTTTTTCCCTGTCTAAAAAATATAGTTTGTTTGATTATTAGTTATGCGTTTCTTCTCTTTGTCTCCTGTCCAGCTGGAGGTTCTTCCCCTCTTGTCTCCAAAACAAATAGCGGGGATGCTGCTGTCGCCTCTTCCTACTCCGCCTGAGAAAGACGTTGTTATCGACCGAGTGTTTGACTTCCTGTTTGAGTCCCCCGAAGACGCGAGACTTCCTGAGGTCCTGCACGAACTGCTTTATCTCATTAACAAGGTAACAGTTTACAATGATGTGTTTCTTCAAAGAGGCCCTATTAAATTCCTCTAGTGTGTCGTACAGGTTTGGCTAAAGCTAAAATCCCCAAATAAATAACTGTCAAATGTGTCTTTGTCAGGTCAATCCACCCTGTGATGTCTACAGACAAATGTAAGTACCTTCAGAAACTTATAACTTTTTTTGCGGCAGCTGAAGTGCAAAGAGTGCGAATACAAAATATTATTTTTTGGAATATTAATCAGCAATGTTTTACATTTGCACCACTTTTTTTGTGAACAAGCACATATTTAAATGCACTATTTGTAAAAATGTCTTCCCAGTAAAGTAGATTAAGAATAGAGAATATATGAGGATTTTGCAGCCGTGTGAATGCTTTCTTATTTCATGTTTTCTTTTCAATGTCAGTTTTGAGAGATTGTACGGAGCCATACCAGATCTGCCACGAGATGTAGAACCATTCATCTGGTCTTACATCGATCAGCTGCTTAACGTGGCGCCAGAAGGTCAGTCCCTTTCTACTAAATACTGTTCATATTTACATTAATTATGTGGCCGTCTACAGTATGCTTCCTGTAGGCTCTTTTTACTGCACTGTTAGTGTACCATTTGATTATTATTGTGCTGCTGTGTGTATTGTATTTTTGTAACTCTGGCACAACAATTTCCTTCGGGATGAATACATTCCTATCTTATCTTTCTCACACATATAAAAAACCTACAGGATTAACTTAAGACTGTATTTGTATATACTGTATGGACAGCGTGACAGCCTGATCAGACACAAATCCGACAATTCAAGTGATAGTACACGCTCGTTATCCTCACGTCGTTGTCGGAAGTGTTTGACTTGATGTAGTGGCCAATTGTCCAAACAAGGAATGTTCAAAGGCCACTTGGTCTAGGAGGCGAATTCGAGTATTGACTCGCGTATGTTCAAGAAATCCAAACACCTCGCTCGTTCCATTCCAGTGCTTTATTAGGAGGTTCAATGGATCAGCAGCCGACGTGGAAGCTTTGCACGGTATTTAAACATAAACAAACAAATCCCAGGCGCGGAGTGTGCGCTCAAAAACCTTTTCCAACTTCCTCTCTAGACTTCCTGCTGTGTCACGATGGCAGCGTCATTTATACCTGAGCACGCTCCTACAATCTGCTTTCTATGAATAATAACAAAACATGAAACTAGAGCTGTCCATAAGCTAGATCAGGGTTTTTCAAAGTGTGGGTAGGTGAGCCTCCCCTCAGAGAACATAAGAACAGCCGCGCCCCCCCTCCCAATTATTATTGCTGTTATTATTATTGTTGTTGTTGCTATAATGCAGGGGTATTCAATTGCATTTCAAAGAGGTCCAGTAAGAGAAAATGTAATTATATGCTCTGTTTTCGCTGTCTACCTTCCGCCATTTGAAATTACTCCGACTGTTTCTCTCCTCTTGTCGTGTCTCTGTGTGTGTTTGAATCTATCGTGCTGACTGCACCGATTTGATTGGCTGAGTAGCGTCACCTCCTTAAAACATTAAACAATAACTTTTTTAAACCTTTTTATTTTTATGGAGGTGAAGGGAATGAGCACTTTTACAGCCTTTTTGGCGAGGTGGGGGAACTCGGTCTCCACAGACAGCCACAAGTGGGCAAGTGTCACTTTACTCGTCTTTTTCTCGTTCTTTTGTGTCTCACGCTGCGCCTCCCCTGAAGCTCTCTGGCGCCCCCCAGGGGAGGCGCTCCTCACA